AAAAAAAAAAAAAAAAAAAAAAGACAGACGGGGGGGGGGGGGGGGTTTCTGTAGCAGACCACCAAAACAAGAACTTCTAAAACCAAAGATTTTGGTTAAATAGTATATACAGCCACATGTTCCTTAAATACTCTTGCTTCTGAGCAACTGCCTCGCCACTCCCCATGATCCTGGACAATGAGTAGATTATTAAATCTATGCAGCAACTGTCAAATTCCAAGGAAGAAATACGAGTGAGTTTCAGTTTGAATAAATCACAAATGTGAGCCATGAAGAAGTTTGATAAAAGCCTTACCAATATTACTGATCCCAATCACGAGCCAGTACCACGATATTAATGCATCCATCGAATATTCGGACCGTCCCAGAAAAATCAGCACGAATTTCACAACTTGCAGCAGGAGTTCATTTAGTCAGTAGCAGTCGCTCTCTAGAGAGGAAGTAGTCATCCCTCAAGTGGTTTCGCTTTACTCATCTGAAATTCATCTAAGCAATTCCACAGCATCATTAATTTATCATCAGAAGAAACGGCCCAATCTGCAGCTTCATCAAATTTCTTTCGTAGCTTCTCATATCGTTGTGCCTCAAGATTGCTAGTCCAGTCATCATAATAACCAACTTTAACCCGTGTGTGACATCTTTTTAAGTCCTTCCTCCATCTTGGCAGGATATACTTTTCTGGAACATTTATGATTTCCATTTTCATGAGAACAGAGATTGAATGCTTGCATAGGATCCCTTTAAATTCAAACAAGCCACAAGTGCATTGAACTTCCCGATTTTCTGCATTGAACTGAACACTGAAATGGATTTGTTTACGTTTTTCTCCAACAAATACAACCTCAGCAACATCAAATCTTCCATCCTTCTCGTCGACACAAGAGACTTCACAATAAAGCTTCCCTGTCAACTCCTTTTGGAATTCTTTGAACTTCGTATTAGTATAAGCCACTTGAAACTGTTTTTCTACTTCAAAAAGGGTCACACAGGGGATCCATGTGCTAAAACACTGAAAATCTGCGAGGTGTTCCTTCTCAACCTTGTTTCTTAATGCCTTGTCATATTCTTCAATAAATTGCTTTAATGTCGTCTTTGAGTTTACACGCCCATTAAAGAAAGGACTTAAACTTTCATCTCGTTGTGCTGTTGACATTCCGGCCCAAAAGGCATCTTTCAAAAAAGCAGGAACCCAACGACTCCGTTCATCATACAAGCTACTTAGCCGTGAATTATCACAGAGATTGAAGTCTTTAACAACTCTTTC